ATCAAATGCAACAAATTAGGTAGGTCTACCAATCTGCCTTGCAGACGGGACAACAGATTAAGTGCGATCCTATCAATGCATAATATTTTTTCAAGCAACATAATTAAATTTCAAATATAGGCTCAAGATGTTCAAAGGTGGCTTGCCTTGCTCGAGATCTGGAGCTTGATCCTCGAAATCCTCACACTGCGGGTCTTCGGGCTCCGAAACTACACGCGAAACGGGACAACTCAACAAACGGCGAAAATAAAGCCCTATTAATGACCTCTTAGCGTGCCATTAGATAGATCTCGAGATTTGAGGAATTTTGGAAGTTGAACGGAGTCAAACGGATTTATGGTTGGGAAGGTATTGAATTTCTAAGATTATTGGATTTTTGGTCTAAAGGAAAAGGATTTAATTAAATCCTTTTCGAAAAAGAAAAGAAAAGAAAAGGAAAGAGGGAGGGAAAATAGACTTCCCTCGGGCGGCTAGGGCGCGGCCCGAGAGAAAGGGCGGCTCGGCCGAGCTTAACGGGCCGGCCGGCCCAAGAAGGCGGCCCAGAGCGGCCCAAGACGCGCGCGCGCGGGAGGGAGGAGAGAGAGAGCCGGTGGACCGGGCTCACCACGCGCGGTCCCGGGTGGGACCCGCTTGTCAGCGGCTCGGCTCACCGTGCGGAGGGAGCACGCGGCGCGGCGCTAGGGTGGGGGAGGGACGCGGTGCACGCGCGCGGTTCGCGGTGGATGCGGATGCGGCGGGCCCACGCGCAGCCTCACGGCTCGCGGTGGAACGCGCGCACGGGGAGGGGCTGACCGGGGTCGGCTCGACCCAGTCTTGGCTGAGCTGGCGCCGACGTGGCGCCTAAGTGGCTGCCACGCGGGCCGGCGGGAGGTAGACGACGACGCCGGCCTGAACGGACGGCGGACGACGGCGGCGAGCGGCGGAGCGAACCACGGCGATACAGGCAAAAGCGAGCACACCGGGTGGTTGCACGTGACGAGGGGAGACGAGCCAACGGCTCGGATTCGCCGGAGGGAGCTTGACGGCGGCGAATCGCGGCGGCGGCAACCGGCGGCGGGAGAAGGGGGAAACGACGACGAGGTCACGAGGGGCCGATTCCCGGCGGCGAGAGCATCTACGTGGCTACGGGAATCCGATGCTAGCGTCGAATTGGGCGGAACTACGCCGAGCGAGGCCGGCGACGAGCGACGCTTCCGAGCTCGGGCGGCGACGGCGGCGAGCACACGGCGAGCGACGGCAACGGCCAGGGCGGCGCCGGCTAACTACGGGGAGGCTACTCGTGCTACTACCCGAGTCTAAGGGGAGGAGATGGAGCGGGGAGGGAGAACGGGGAGATGCTCTACCGTGCGGGCGGGCGCAGTGACGAGAGGCCGACGGCGCGGGAGTAATCTCTCCGGCCTCGGGCCGAGGAAGAGGAAGAAGAGGGCGCGCCCGGAGTCCTCTTCCGCGTCCTTGCTCGTGCCGGCTCCTCCGACACGCGCAACGACGAACGGCGACGGCGAACAGAGCACGGGGGCGGCGGCAATGGCACGGAGGCGAATGGGAGAGGAAGGGAAAGGGAGAGGCTTGGGTTTTAAGGGCGGCAATATCGGTTTGGAAACCGACTTAGGGCGGTCAAGGCGCGAGCTGGCGCTCCGGCTAGCGGCCAAAACGGCGACAGAGGTGACGCCGGCGAGAGGGAAAAAGGAGGAAAAAGGGGGAGAGAAAGGGGGCTCGCCCCTTGCTTCTTTGGGAAAAGGAGGAGGGGAGCGGGGGCGTCGCGGCAGAGGGAGGAGGGCTCTGCCTCTGTCCCTTGGCGGCTTGCGCGCGGAGAGGCAGGGCCGAGGCGATGACGACGGCGATGACGGCGGGGCGGTGTGGAGCGGAGCGGCGACACAAGCGACAGGCGCGACAGAGGCTGACGGCGGCAGCGACCAGGCGGTCGGCCACCACGGCACGCGCGCGCGGGAAGCAATGGGCGGCGCGGCGATTTGAGCGGCGCGGCTCGGGCACGCGCGCTGGCTAGCGGGGCCGGGCGGCTGCGCGGCAGGGCAGCGGGGCCAGGCAGCACAGACGGCGTAGGCGCGGCAAGGGCGGCGACCACGCGGGTGCGCGCACGCGAACACGGCGCGCGGGAAGCGGCAGCGAGGGAGCGGAGAGGGAGGACTCGGCTTGGCGCGGGCGGCTCACGCGCACGCGCGCGGGCAGAGCGGAGGGGGAGGGAGCGCTCAGCGCGGCTCACGCGCACGCGCGCGCGGCGCGCGGGCGGAGCGGGGAAAGGGAGAGAGAGAGAGAGAGAGAGCGCCGGGGGAGGGAGGGGGAGATGGGCCGAGAGGGATTCGGCCCATCGACCCTGGGGAGGCAAAATAGACTTTTGCGGATGGATATGATTTGGAAGGATTTGGATTCGGAATTGAACTTGACGATAGATCGGGGATTTGAGATCTTGAGATGGCACGGACACTAGACAACAAGCGAAGAAACAAATTTCGCAATTAGGGTTTTTAAGAGATAATTTTTCCGCTAGGCGCCACGACGGAACGGGCGCTACAACTGGTTCAGGCCCCTAGCTCGTAAGGTAATAGCCCTAATCCAGTTTATATGAGATTGATATAGAAAATCACATGTTACAATAGAGAACAGTCAATCCCGAGATTACTAGCGAGATCCTTGTCGAGATGGTTTCGACGAGATCTCCCAACGAGTAGGCTTCAAGTCCTCCAGATTGTAGGCTATGGTGGTGGTGTTGGCTCCCCCCCCCCCCCGGCCAGGGGGTGGCTATTTATACCTTGGACCCCTTTGTCTCCAAGTAGAACGTCTACTCGGAGACTCTGTATCCTACACGATATGGTATAATCCCAACCTTCTCTGAGTAGAACTCTACCACGTTACTTGCCCGTGAGGTTTATTTCCATAATCTCTTGTCGATTTCCTTATCATACACAAAAACGTATCGTACATACAAAAGTATGACATATCCGTATATTTTATAAGTCGTAGGATAGAAGGTATGTCTTATCCGTAACCATGACAAGTTGGGAGAGGCGTTTGGCTGTTGTCTCCTAGGAAAGTTGAAGCTGCTGCGTAGATGTGAACTCGGCAATGACGACTCATGTCGGACCTTGTCAATCGTGTTTCACTTCGGTGTAGAGTAGCAAGTTGTATAGTTCTTGCTATGGTGCTTCCTAGCGAATTAGGGGTCACTTGATCGTGTGGGCGATGGTATGATGACAGTGACATGTCATTGCCAACGTGTGGGGGTCTATGCTTTCAGTTTGTTTCTCGTAGCTACAACACCTATATCAACAACGTGTGGCAATAATGCCTTGTGGCCAACAGAGTTTGAGTGTTGAGCTTAGTTGTCTTACTTCTAGTTGTGGTAGTTTAGGTTAGTTGGCTACGAATGTGTTGTAGTTGCGGTTTTTGCTTAGTTTTGTATAATTAATTATGCACCGCAAATTTTGGTCTCATTTTTCCTTGAAATAAGGCATCTTCTTCTTGTTCTTATATAAAAAAATAATACCCCGGCAACAGCTGACTATAGTTCAAATTTCACAAACTAATTTGTTCATGGATAATTTTACAAAAAATGATGGTATGGGGAGGAAAAGACAGTTAACATGCCATATCTGATATAGTCTCATCTGATTGGAACAAACACCTTATGAAGCCTTGGTGTGAGTTTTTGCGCATGACTATAGGCTCTATGGAGTGTGATAGGTAATTGGCATCATTGTGATTGTTGTTAATTTGTCTTCAAGTTATGAAGTATGGTGTCATAATATTGGTTTTGATAGTTTCAAGTTGTATGTATATGGCATGATTAATGTTGGTCAGGCTGTAAGAATCTTCTCCTAATAATCATTATCTAGTATAATGATGTCAACGATTCTTAAAATCTAGTGATAAATTGGATTCAAACAAGATACATGGTAGAGAGAAACCATATATAAAGGATTATTATTTTGGTTATATCAAATGATTCCAATTGAAAATAAGGCCATCCAAACAAACATCAAAGTGGGAAGGACTTTTTAGAGGTCCTAGAAGACATAGGACACGTTCGGAAGTCATTCCTGCGATTTGCAGCGCTTGTGTTGTGCGAGGACAGTTTTGCCTTTTGCTCCTACAGCTAGCTGCCATGCAGCCACAGAAACTGTTAGCCGAATAAGTCCATAGTTGAACCGGAGATGACGAGGCTACGAGCTCACCCATTTCCCCACTTGCTAACAACCACTAGGTAGATGTTAGGTATAGATGAAGTCTCGCGATTGACTGGTTGAATGGCATGACTTGTACTACTTTATTTATGGCTATTGGTGAGGAGTGAGGATAACATAGCCAGAGTAGGGGTGCGGGCGCGCGCACACACACAGAGACACACAAATATAATGCACATGCACAAAAATGTAACACACACACACACACAAATGTAACACACACAATTATAAATACTGTGGCAAAAATGTGATTGGTTTTAGTGTCTTTAAATTGTGTACTAACAATTTCTAGTTGGAGTTTGATAGAAAGAGAAGAGCAAACAAACAAATTAGATTACAAAATAGAAATATGTGATTAATTTTGTGTCTTTCAAGGTGTAGTTACATTTTACAATTGTGGTTTGATAAGAAGAAGAAAGCAAACAAACATATTTGACTAAAAATTTTCAGTTGTGGTTTGATAGGTAGAAAGATGAAGACAAACAAATTTGACTATAGAGATACAACTAATGAATCTAAACATACCACACTACCATTGCATTTAAAAGGATGTAGTTTATATATTGATGAACTTAAGTAGAGTTTAGCTCCAAAATCTTGAGTGATTTTCTAGTGGCCCTAAATTTGTGGCATTGTTGAAGAGGAATGTTCGCAAAGTCGTATATTGTTTATGTAGGATAAACATGACACAATTGGCTTACGACAACATTACGGTGATGGCTAATAATAACATCAGGGGTAGAGTGATAGCATACGCACATGTGCACGTACGTGTGCGCATGCGCACACACAATAACAAAATTGTGGCAAAACAATATGATTGATTATGTTTTATTTCAGTTGCTAGTAATATGTCATAGTTGTAGTTTGACATAAAGAAGGAAGCAAAAAAGATAAATTAGCCTATAAAAACATAACTAACAAATGTAGACAAATCATTCATTCCCATTACATTAAAAATGATCTAGTCTACATATGGACGGATGTAAGCAGAGTTCAGCTCCCAAATCTTTAGCGATTTGGCAGTGACTCTAACATTTGTGGCATTGTTGAAAAGAAAGATTTTGGCCGACTCGTAGATGGCTTTGGTGGGATACACACGCGAGGTAATGCATGTCCTCCCTCCTTGAGCGAAGCCCTCAACTATGGAGTGATCAACCTATTGAAAGAAATTGCACACAAAGAGTTAGGTTACGACGTATCAAAATATATGCGTTGTGGCATATGAATATGCATGTACTCAACATTGCTAGAAAGACTTACCAAAATCCTTATTGACAGGTTTTCGCCATCTAGCACAGGTACCAAGCTGCCATAGACTCTCTTAACTAGATCGTTTGCTTTTGATGACCTGAAAAAAAAACAAGATTTAAAATGCATTAAAATTTACATCTTGACTCGATTAAAGCAAAATTTAAGCCTCCTTTATATATACACAAGGAGTTCTACACACGACAGCACACATCCTCTGTCCACAAATTGAAGTATCGAAAAAAAATACATCCTCTAATAACAAGATCAAGTGTGAATATTTGGTTGCAAAAATATGTGCACACAGAGGAAGACATGCACGCATATACTGGAAAATGTGTACCACACACACCTGAGCTCGTCTTGGCAGAAGAAGGTTGTAAGGTTGCCGTCGACTCCCTTGACCAGGTAGAAGAAGACAGCCGTCCGCTCCGACAACTGATCATCGGCCAGCACGAGAAGCCCGAACGGGCCCATCAAGCCACGGCCAACCGCACCGCCGCCCGTGCCGCAGCTGTATGCTGCTGCTCCAGCCTCCGTGACGACACCGTCGGCTGCCGAAGTGTCCACCTCGAACACGGCCTCGATGTCCAGCTGTACAACCGCACGCACACCAGAACCACACTTGCACGTCAGTTTCTCGGGTCGGATATATAGCAGTTGTTGTGTATGTGTATGGCACACTTTTTTTTTATAAATGTATGACACATTTTGTGTTCATGTGTCAAAATCACGCGTACGTACCTGTGTTGCTTTGCCGACGTCCAACGGCACGACGGAGCCGGGAGAGACGTCGAGGCCGTCGAAGCTCTTGCCGCGCATACGGAGGTTCTCCACCTCCACCACCGGCCACTGGAGCAGGTTGCTGCCAGTCTTCGTGTCCAGCATAACTGTCCTCGGAATTGACTGCAAATAATAATAATAATAAAAGGTTAATTTAAATAAAGGGAAATGCCTTGTTTGGATGGGCCTCGGTCAAGGCCCATCAAGGGCACATTGAATTCAACAACAATTTAAAACAGGAAAAAAATAAGATTTAAAGAAAAAGGGACAATGACATGAATGATTGAAGGAGAGACAGTTAAGGATCTACTCCCTCCGACTCTAAAAATGTATAGTTTTAACTAGTTAAAGATATATTATTAAGCAAGAGATTAAAAAACTACGATGTCCTTGTGGTGGAGAAAACGAAAAAAAAAAGATAAACTAGTATTAAAATGGTCTAGTGGATCACCTAAAATTACATTTATTTAGAGATGGTAGTAGCAGTTTAGTTTTTTTTATAGTCATTCAGACAAAATACAAAATTGTAGCATGATTTTAAAAATATACAATTTTAGCAAGTTTTTACAGTCATTCAGATAAAAATACATAATTTTAGCATGATTAAAAAAAGATGCAATTTTAGTAAGTTTGTATAGTTCGCAATTTAACAAAAGGCCAATGCATTTATTGGTTAACCTATCACCTAATTCTGATAAACTCGCCTAGCGCCAATGGCAAATAGTAGAGTTGTAAAATATAACAGCCCGGGTTCGAGTCTTAACACGCTCACTTCCCACCCAAATTCTTTTTGATACAATTCTAGGATATTTTCATACCCGGCCATCTAACCAAGGAAGTATATTTACTCAAAGTCCACTGCTTTTTTAAGAAGCCCTGCCTAGTGTAGTTGGCAAAGTCTATAGTTAGACAGACTAGCGGACCGTGTTCGAGTTTTAGCAGCTCACCTTTTCACCCTTGTTTATTGTGTTTGAGTTTTAGCACACTCACCTTTTCACCCTTGTTTTCGTTTGCGTTTAATATAAAAATTATCATGCTCACCTTTTTCCACCATAATTTTTTAATAGAAGTCTAGTGTATTTGCATAACTGGTCACCAAGAAAGTGCATTTATAAATTTGTGTATCACCTAATTTTGATAACTCCACCTAGCGCAGTTGGCAAAGGTTAGAATTAGGAACCTAGCGGGCCGCGTTCGAGTTTTAAAACACTCGCCAACAGCCACCCTTTCCACCATGGTGCTTTTTTTTTCAAATGCATCTCAAGTATTTTTACAACTTAACTGGCCACCAAGAAAGTGCATTTACTTATTAATCTATCACCTAATTTCGATAACTCCACCTAGCGCAGTTGGTAAAGTTTAGAATTAGAAACCTAGTGGACCGCGTTCGAGTTTGAACACACTCACTCAATTACCCTTTCCATATATTTTTTAAAATACATCTCAAGTATCTTTACCACCAAGAAAGTGCATTTACTTATTAATCTATCACCTAATTTCGATAACTCCACCTTGCGCAGTTGGTAAAGTTTAGAATTAGAAACCTAGTGGACCGCGTTCAAGTTTGAACACACTCACTCAATTACCATTTCCATATATTTTTTAAAATACATCTCAAGTATCTTTACAACTTAGATAACACGGTTAGACTTGTGTAGCCTATTAGCATCACAACAACTTGCCTAACCAACTGAGAAAGGAGACGTTTGTTGATTTCCTTTTTTATATTATAGTATAGTACAAATATCGAAAACTCCTCAATTTCATCTTTAGAATAACTATGAGTGGATTTTTTTTTTCATTTCACAAAAACCATTGATTTCATCATCGATTAAAATAAATTGCCAAACATTTTAGTTCCAAAAATAACGTAAAACAAATTTCTCAAAAACGAAGTTAATTCCCCTAGGAGTCGAACCGGCCACTCAAGAACTCACTTTCACGCTTGCCACAAGAATGACATGTACATATACCGCGAAATTACTAAGTTATTCAAATGATTACGGATTATTAAAAAAACAACACGATTGCAGCGACAGGTCAGGGTATTAAATTTCCTGATGCTAAGCAAGTCATTATCCACGTGCTGCTTCGTTGGAACAACCCCTTTGAATAGTCCTGTTTGGAATTCCAAACTCTAGCAAATCAGAAATTTACTCAAATCCCCCTTTCGTCAAGTAAATGTCCTAGCTAATCTCTAGCTATGCGCCAATGCAAGACACGTTATGGACGCATAAAAAAAACCCTTCGCAATTTGAGGATTAATCTAACTCTAGCCTTAGCTAATTAATAGAGTACTAATACTTCTCCACACTAAGACGTGGTGACAACTAGTTTGCTTAGACGTACGGCTCTCGTGCTCTCGCGGCCAACCGGAGACAAGTCACGGTCGGGCACCAGAAAACGCCGGCCGATCCAGTCCGATGTCATGGCGCCGCTGCTGCATGCAAATCCCCGCGAGTCTATTGGCAGCCTGCAAATCTCGCCGGGCCCGGCTACCTCTGGTGGTTGGGCGGGCGTGACTCGGACCGATTAATCAAGTCGGCATCGTGCAACTCGTTTGGGTAGACCGGTAGAAGGACGTGATCCGGTTTTCAAAAAATAATAAAAAAAAGGACGTGATCCCCGTGGGGCCCGCCCAGACCTGGACTACTGCATATACTACTGGTCCAACTATGTTCATGCACGTTTTCTTCTGGATCGACCGGCCGGCGCAACAAGAAAGCCGCACGCCTGCATGCCTCTCGTGGTGCACAGGTAAAGACGTTTTGCATTATATCTTAGTGGGCGGAATTGTGGTCTAGAAATGGTATATGCAAGTGTATAACTACATAATGACCGGGTCCTAGCTAGCCATCCATGGTTAACTAGCCAGATCAGCATGATCATCATATCCAGCTGGCTAGCAGCTAGCTGGCTTAGCTAGGGGCGTTATTTTCATAAGGTTTTAATGGATTTCCATGAGTTTATATCGTCCTAGTCACTTTACTTTTTTGCTCTAGCGATTCAAATAGTATGAGCTAAATGTTTTTGACACAGTAATTAATGGAGTACAGTACATGATTGGGAAAAAGGGATGTATACGGCAAGTTAAATTAATTACAATATATATGAATTATACCAAATCAGTACGGCTTTTCAGATTTTAATAGTAACTCGTTCTGTGCCAATTGAGATAGTACATACCCAGTTACCTAAAAATCTTAATTAAGTATCTTGTTCATGTCATCGCAAAAAAAAAAGACTAATTAGTTTTGCAATGAATTATATCACAGATCAATATGGCTTTTCAGACAGCTTTATAATAGTTTTCCTACGTCATTTGAGATTAATATAACTTGTTATTTTTATATTTTTGTAATTATGTTCAGTTATGATGCTTCACAAAGAAATTTGACGGGTTCGTATCTCTATCCGTGTCTCGTTCAATCCATTGTCAAAATTAAATAAAAAAAGTTTGTTTATACGTAACTACTACTAATTCTATAGCCTATCAGAAATATGAAACCAAGGTTATGGGGGTTGTCGATCAATGTACGTTACCTGAAGGGAGGCCCAGCCCTTGAGTATGTCAGCCCGCTCGCTGTCGGTCTCGCCGATCCACCCCCATAGCACGCGACGCCGCCCGACGGGGTCGTAGAACGTCTTGGACGCGTAGAACTTGCCGTAGTCGTACCGGAGCCCGATCCCGACGTCGATGTCGGCGTTGTCCGGCGTCCAGGTATCGGTCTCGCCGTCGTAGGTGCCGATGGCGTAGTAGTCGTTTCTGTCGTCGTCGAGGCTGGCCTTGAGTACGTGCTTCACGCCGGGCCCCGGCGGGGTGGACGTCTCGAGCCCGTCCTCGACGGCCGGCGAGGTGGACACCGGGTACAAGTCCACGCACTCCCACATGCCGGTGCCCTTGACGACGTGCAGCAGCGTGGGCAGCAGGTCGTAGTGCAGGAAGTCCTCCGTCTTGTACACGAGCGCCAGCCCCGCGTGGTCGCGGTCCTTGGACCCGATGGTGATCCGCCACGCCGAGTCGGCCGGGTTGCGCCACGCCGTCGTCGGGTCGCGGAAGTCCGTCAGCCCGATGCCCGGCGGCGGCACCAGCACCGGGTTCGCCTCCGCCTTGCTCCATTCCCGCAGCAGCGGGTCGTTCGGGTCGGCCGGCTCGGCCAGGTTCTGCACCTGCACCGACTCCTCCGTGGCGCCGGTGTAGAGCATGACGATCCGGCCGTCGGGCAGCTGCGTCGCCGAGCCGGTCCAGACGCCGTTGATGTCGTACCAGTGGTCGGGCACCATGGCGAGCGGCAGGTGCAGCCAGTGGATGAGATCGCGCGACACGGCATGGCCCCAGGTGATGTTCCCCCACACGGCCGAGTCCGGGTTCCATTGGTAGAACAGATGGTACCATCCCTTGTAGTACAGTGGACCTGCAGATCGATCCATCGACGGCCCGGTCAGTGCGTGCAAAAAAAAAGTGTCACGTCTCGCGACATCGATGTCAATGCGTGACAAGTACAAGATTGCGCCGTGCATTGACAATCAGCGCCAGCAACTTACCGTTCGGATCTGTAGATGCCGAGAAAAAGACGAGCAGCACGGCCATGCGCACGAGACGTCCGTGGAAAAGAAACGGAAAGGGAACAAGATTAGAAACGAGAAAACATTGTATAACCGGTGAATCGGAGCCGTGCGATTACAGATCCAACGGCCTAGATGAAACCACGGGAACGATGGCAACGTGTATACATACCGTTCATCCAATTGTTGGGGGGCTGGAAGTGGAACGCCGTGCGCTGCCAGGACAGCATCGAGTTGGTCCAGGCGTAGTCCCGGACCGCGCCGCCGCCGAGGCGCAGCGCCGGGGTGGTGGACTTCTCCGAGACGCCCTCCACGACGCCGCGGGACGACGAGGCCGCGACCTCCACGGTGCCGGGCGCGAGTACGGCCGCCCTCCCGTCTCCACCGTCGTGAAATCCATACACCAGGAAGAGCGCCGCGAGGCCGAGAAGGACCACGGCGGACGCGACGACGGCCGGGAGGACCGGCGTCCGCCTCTTCCCCCTCTCCGGATCACGTTGCTGGCGGCTCTCGGGGCTCGTCTCGGGAAGCAGAGGCGCGGCGCCGTCCATCATCGGGGAGATGGCCGGGATCATTGGCAACCAACCAATCTAGCTGCTGCTGCTGCTTGCGCTCTAGGCTACGTCGAGAGCTAATGGCAAACAAGGTGCATGCGCCCTCCTATTTGTACATGAACGAGAGCGAGCGGACGAGGAAAAATGGAAACGAACGAAGAGGCTGGCAGTATTTATAGCGACGTTGCCTTATGCGGAAGGGACAGATGTACTCTGTCGCGGGCGATGATTTTTTTTTCACCGCATCGCGCGCTCGCGCAAGGTCGCCGCCGAGACGCCGAGCGAATCGGGAAATAAAAGGAAACGGAGAGAGGAGGCGATCTCGATCTCACGGTGGGAACTCCTTGCCAAAAAAAGGGAGGGTTTTATAGCGGAGCATTGGCCGGGCGAAGTGATCGGAGTCTGAGTCAGCAAGCATGGGGGCCAGTTCATGTGGGCCACGGAAACGACAGGCTTTCACGTAATTTGCACAAACTACTCAGCTTATTACAGAGGATCGGAATTCAGGGGTCCAAATTTGTGAACCGAGAGAGATAAAAAACCTACTACGTTTGCATGTGGGTTTAATTCACCGGAAAACATGGACGATCAATAAGGTTGAATTATGCAAGGCTAGCTACAGCTAGAATTAACAGTAGGCCACCAAACCATGCATTTTGGTTCTAGAGCGATTCTGTCAGTAGTTCTGTCCTAGTGTCCTACTACAGTACAGCGTGGCACTAAAGCCATAATTTAAATTCTTGCTCCGCCTAAAACGAAGGAATGGGTGCTTAAGTTCGTTGTCCACTTCCCAGTATGTACTGGCAGCTGATTATACAAATAAATTTACATTTATTGATAAAATGCAGCAGCTAGTTGGAAAAAATATATAAAGGTAAACTTTTATTGGTTTACAATAAGAAAAGGAAAGCTTTGAAACCATATCTATCCACTCTGACATGATATAAATTGAGGAGTTACTCGATCGAGAACTGTCTCTTAAATCTATTCCGTCAAAATGCGTGGACTTTAAACTCTATAACGATATGTCGATACATCCCTTGGATCCAATAATGTTAAACTTTTATTGTTTTACAATAAAAAAGGAAAGGTTTTTTAAAACAATATCAATCCGCTCCGACATGATATAAATTGAGGAGTTATTCGATCAGTAACGATATCTCTTAAATCCATTTCGACAAGATGTGCCGACTTTAGTCTATAATGGTATGTCGGTATATCCCTTGGGTCCAAATAAACTAAACTTTTATTGTTTTACAATAAATAAGGAAAGCATTAAAACGATATCAATCTACTCCGACATGACATAAACTGAGTTATTCGATCGATAATTGTGTCTCTTAAATCCGTTCCATCAAATTGCGCGGATTTTAGACTATAACAGTATGTCGGTACATTCCTTGGATCCAATAAAGCTAAACTTTTATTGTTTCACAATAAAAAAGGAAAGGTTTTTTTTTAAAAAAAAACTATATCAATTCGCTCCGACATGACATAAGTTGGGGAGTTATTCGATCAGTAACGATATCTCTTAAATGCAGTCCAACAAGACGCACAAAATTTAGTCTATAATGGTATGTTGGTACATCCCTTGGATCTAGTTAAGCTAAAACTTTTATTGTTTTACAATAAGAAAAGGAAATCTTTAAAATGATATCAATCCGCTCCGCCGTGATATAAATTGAGGAGTTATTCGATTAGTAACGGTATCTCTTATATCCATTTCGTAAAAAATGTGTAAACTTTAGATTTTATAACGGTATGTCGATACATCCTTTTGATCCAATAAAGCTAAGCTTTTATTGTTTTACAATAATAAAAGGAGACATTTTTTTACAATGATATCAATCCGCTCCGACATGATATAAATTAAGGAGTTATTCGATCAGTAACGATATCTCTTAAATACATTTCGACAAGATGCACAGACTTTAGTCTCTATAACGGTATGTCAGTACATCCCTTGGATCCAATTAAGCTAAACTTTTATTCTTTTACAATAAGAAAAGGAAAGCTTTAAAACAATATCAATCCGCTCTGACATGGTATAAATTGAGGAGTTATTCAATCAGTAATGATATCTCTTAAATCCATTCTAACAAGATGCATGGACTTTAGGCATATGTTGGTACATCTCTTGGATCCAATTAAGCTAAACTTTTATTGTTTTACAATAAGAAAAAGAAGTTTAAAGCCGATATCAATCTGCTCCGACTGTAGAGTCTATAACGTTATGTCGGTGTCCCTTGGATCTATTCAGAGTTTCCAACAAAATAATACACAGGAGAGCTGTAGATATGTTGCACCACCTTTCACTAGATTTTACTTTAAATTTATCAACATCAATTTAAGAAATATGGATTCAGATTGTATCTAGCCATTTCATTCCCAACTACGAATACTTTTTTTTTCGTTATACTTAAATACTGCTAGGTATCTCAGCAAAAGAATATATATAATAGATGCTGCCTGCTATGGAAAAATCAGGTAAAAATGGAATTTAATGTCAACCAAATAACATAAACAAAAGTAGTAATACATAAAAATATTAGGAATTTGCACACGTTAAGAAATTGAAGAGCAGTCGTCACAATGGACTGAATCCAAAATCAATCGAATAAACAAAATCATCTCTGTAGCAATGTTTACAAAGATAAACTCCCTAGTTAAAAGGGATTAATCAATTTGATGACATGTGCGTGGTATTAAGTAACTCGATCGTTTCTATATCTCGCATGTTGTTTCAAGGAAGAGATTTGTGCAACGTACGTAGAGCTATCCATGCTTCCAAGCTTCAGAGTAGCTTCAGCAATCAGCATGTGTACATGTATTTTCTTGAGGACTTCACGTTTAACGCACACAAGCAATACCTATGGGATCAAGTTGTTAATTTAAATATTTTTTATCCATTCCAACTCGCTACAAAGCAGCGGGCAACTCTAAGCGGTCAAGGCATGGGCCACCAATAAAAATTACTCAGATCATAAAAGTTTTAAGTTTCAAATTTTTTTGAACTACGTTATAAAAATCTAATTTTATCCTAAATATTAAATATTTATGACGGGAAAGAGGGAGGTATAGAGTAGAACCTAACGTCTTTTTCCAAAAGAAAAATCGTTGGAGGTTAATTGTTCGGCATCTTAAGTTAGCCTCATTAGTCGCTGATAGTTTATTAGTATTTAATTATGCACAACTCCTCGATAGCAACCTGTTGAATTCATATACATATAGTAAGTACTGTTCACAAATGAATTGTAAGGTTAGTGTTCACCATGTATTGATTGTGTAATTCTATATTTCCACCGGTTCTAAAAATATTTCTCCACGTGATATGCATGACGAGAAATTAGGTAGATCAATTACGCTGATCGTCTCGCAAGAAAAACTGAATATATAAATGCAAATCATTTGACTAAAAAAGATGCATTAATTATTTTATGACATAATTGGCATGGTATTGTATTGTATTGTTTTATCGTTATACTGTTCACAAGCTGGAATTTGAACTGTATTACAATATCTTAAAAATTAGAGTTGTATTTATGATACAACTCTTATATTTATATTTACAAATGCAATTGTACTGTCATACCACAGAATGTAGCTCTCTAACATATGAGAGAATCTATTCTATACCACTGAGTTTGATCTAGTTTAATAATTTGCTACTAACATTGTCTCTTTTCATAATATACCCATTGAGTTTATTCACTGTAGGAGCCTCTCCTACAATTTCATTTTCAAAAAAAAAACGATGGCTTTACCAATTGTTTTATAATACGCTATTGGGTTAAACTTTTTTCAAAGAGAGAATCGACTCCATGCCACTGAGTTTGGTTCAGCTCAACGATTTCACTAACAGTGTCTCTTAATTTCTATTATATACCGGTGACATTAACAATGTTTTACAATATACCAGTGGGTTGATCACCCTTATAAGAATACCCAAAATACTCTTAGAGATATACAATGTAAACAATCCCTAATTTATTTCATTAAAAGTTTCAATAAAAATGAAAATTTTTGTATGGCCTATGTACAAAACATGTAAGAATGTATTAAGTTTAAAGTTTTTTTGTTATATTTATTTTATAAAATTATTTTGTGTGGTATACGAGAGAGAAATTGCTTAAAATAGATAATAGCACAAAACACAAAAATATCGTATGTAGCGTATGAAATATGATTTACATTAATAACAATAACAAAAATTTATATAGCATATAACGGATAAGTTATATTTTTTAAAAAAGAGTATAAATGCAAAAAGAACTTGAAACTTATCTACAAATTTACATGTTGTACATGTAAGGAGGCCAAATAATTAATACACACACACACACAAACACACACACACACATATATATACATACATATATATTTTTCGAAATTTCTAATGAGATAAAACCTTTTATATATGTACTTTTCCTCCCAAAAATAGTCTTGACAGGTGGAATTAAACCATAGCTCCAAGACCTTGTAGGTAAATTAGTTTAATGTGTATTCCGTGAAGGTTCATATATAGTTTGTTTCGTACACCACTCGCTTGGTTTCTGAAGGAAAGAAACCAACGATTTTTTTCACGTTTCAGATTTTTATTCAACGGTGCATCAGGGAGGCTCCTGGCCCCTCCTATACACAGCCAGGATCGACTCTCAACTCCACTGTTGCATCATCATCTCTCCTTGATATCCATGTCGTCACCACTGATGCACCTCAATGAGACCTACTACTGTTAATTGCTTGCCGGAACTAACCTCCACCGTGGCAATTCATATACTAATAATCATATGTGGTGTGCCTGTGGACAAACTCACGCAAAGAAAGATAAATTAATCAATCTATGTGTACGCACACGATCACAGACTTGTACGCACGAAATCCATCGAACACCTGATCCAGTATTCAACTATTCATCGCGAGAATTAAATGGGAGGGAGAAAAATTCATCGCAATCCCCAGATCATTTGATCGATCGATTGAGTGGATATACACTATCCGGTTCGTCAAACCGGTGACTGGCAACAGCAACTGGCTGATCGATCGAGCTAGCACCGATCTATTATCTGGACTGCCAAATAATTGAAGACGTCGTCGCAATTCAAGCATTACGCTAGCTAGCTACGTGGATGGAATCCACTCCAAGCATTTTTGCAGCAATGAGGAGTTTAATACGCAGACAGAGACCCGCGGAGATGATGATAGTACTGTGACGCGATCAATTAATACCGGTCGATCTCCTCCAACGACAGCAAACCGGCTAGTCGGTGAGCGCGAGTAACATGCGCTATCGCCTACCTGCAACATTTCTGCACATGCATACATTGGAGCTCTCTTGATCGGTCGATAAAGACCCATGATAAGTATACCGCAGTACTAGCTAGGAGTAGGAGGCAATAATGCATGTTACTTGCAGCTTCTCTAGAACGGCGCATGTTGCCGTGAATCGGCGGCGGCGCTGCCCGTTTTCTGCAATGCCTTCTTCTGCTTTCGAGATCTGCCGAATTTTCCTACCTCTGTCACAGCTAAAGCCGGGCACTGTTCACGGTTAAATTTCACCTTCGTTTCCATCAGGCTAATCCGGCGAGACAGACGCATTCGAGGAAGAACATGGGCACATGGCAGACTGAGACTGGCCGCAGCTGCATGCGATGTGTCTCGCGAGGGACGTCAAAGCACGCCTTTTTGTGATGAGCATGCACGAGGCAGCCTGGTAACGACGAGGGGGTGCGGTGATCATTTAGAAGTAACCCGCAGTGCAGATAATATCATAATACGGATGTCCCAGGTGTTGCTTAGGCAGGTCTTAATTATCATCATCAGGCGTTGGTCAAGCGATCCTGTCCACGGGAGACGGGAGACAAAAGCGAAATCCTAGTACTACTAGACATGCTCCAAGGCTCCAAGCTCACGTACTGATATGCACAAGGAACAGAGAGAACGGAGATAAGAAAAGAAAAAGACCTTATCCAGCAGCTGCGTGTGCAAGCTTGACACAGAAAGTTCGTAGCCAAGTAATTTACCATCTCTAGCGTGTACACCTTCGTTTATGTTTTTCCGACGTGGTTCAGCCACATGGACCAACTTTAATTATATCCGACAGTCGTGCGGGTGCGGCTCGTGACAGACCAAACATTCTTCATTTCTTCGAGCTACCCCGTCCAACGTTCAAGCAGCCCTGCTCGCGTCCGGTCCAGTCAAGCTCTTGTGATTCGTGGCCCACGGTTGTCTAGACTCTGGACCTTGTGGATGACGGCTCGGCCTCTTTGCGTGTCAAGTTCGGTTGTTGCCAACGGAAATAAAAAATCAGAATTGAATTTTACACCCACCGGCAACGTGCGTAATGGTCGAAAACTTCCCTTCCTCTTTGCTTCATCACTAATCATCCTTTTTTTTAACAGTTGACCATTATATAAATTCAGGATAAACTTCACGGAAGAACCAAGCGCCCATTTTTTTTAAAAAAAATTGGAAGAATTAGCGTGAAGCAAGAAGGAAAAAGTACATCCAAGGTCTCTCAACTTGTCATCGAATTACAAAATCATCCCCCAACCACAAAACCAAATATATAATATCCCAACTTACAAAACCATTCACTTTACGTTCTTCGGTGGTTTTGATCCCGGTTTTGTCCGACGTGACGGCTGAATCAGCATGGACCCCACATGTTAGATGCCACGTCAGCATCCCTCTCTTTCCCCTCCTTGGAGCACGACGACGACTCGGGGCTGCCGCTCGCTTGCTCCTGGGGGCTGGAAAAGCCGCACGCACTCAGAGTGGAGGCGGTGGGTGTCCGGCGATGTCCCGAGGCGAGCGAGGACAGCGGTGGCTTGCCTCCTGCTCCTCTCCCCGCCGATCTCCCTCACCGACCGGCGAGTGCACGCGGAGAGGAAGAAGGGCAGCGGCCGGCCGGCAGAACAGCCTGTGAACCCATCCTTCCCTCCATTTCTTTGCTAGCTTCCGCCATTGTTTTTTGGATTTTATTTGCTCATCTGGTGCTTCTTCCCCTTTCCGTTTCTGCAGCTCACAGCCTCACACCCGCTCAAATTCTTCACAATCCGTAAGTGTGTGTGTGTGTGTGTGTGTGTGTGAGAATTCTTGCAGATTAGATGCTGAATTGCTGCTAATAGCCTGCATCGACTCGTAAATTTATGTTTTTTTTTGTTGGAACAGATGGGCTGTGGCTAGTGCCCGCAGTACAGCTATGGGGGATGCCATCCTGCTGCAGGCCAATCACATTCGACGTTAACAAGGTGCCAACCATGCGGGGACCTAGCGCACCGAGGTCCGGCGAGGGGCAGCGGCGGCACGCGGCGCGCAGCGAGGGCGAGCAGGAGCGTGACGGCGGCCGACGGCGGGGCGCGGTGGCGGCTAGGCGGCGGCCGCGACGCGGACGCACGGCGGCGGCGCGGCCAGGACACGGGCTCGTGGCGGCCGGCGTGCGGCGGGCCGGCGGCTCATGGCGCCACACCATGCGGGGCGGCGCGGGGGCGATCAAGCGGCCATGGCGTGGTGCTGCGAGCACGCCGTGGACGGCGGATGCGGTGCAGCGGCCTAGCACGGCACGGTGCGGTGACGCCGGTGGCCGGGTGGGTGCGGGATGCGGCTAAGCTGCGGCTCGGCGCGGGATGCGGCCGAGCGGCCATGGCGCGGCGAGTGCCAGCAGCACGGCGGCCAGGGCTGCTCGCTGCTCTGCCCTTTTCCCTTTTTTTTTCTTTCTTCATTTTCTTTTCCCATTGACTTCGTGTGGTCGGGGAGGCGCGGCGGCCATGGCCAGAGCGGCGGCACGGCTGGGCGACGGCTGGTGTGACGCTGCGGAGTTCGGTGCAAGGCGCGGTCCGGGGCGGCCGTGCGGGGGCGAGGCCGTGCAGTGGCCGGCGCGCAGCCGACGTCTCCATCAGTGCCCTTTCGTGACATCCTGACACGTGGGTCCCATGTTGACTTAGCAGTCACGTCGTACAAAACCGGAGTCAAAACCACCGAAGAACCTAAATGGAACGGTTTTGTAAAGTTAAGGGATGTCATATATCTGGTTTTGTGGTTGAGGGACGATTTTGTAATTCGATGACAAGTTGAGAGAACTTGGGTGTACTTTTTCCAAGCAAGAAATGAGAAAGTGCGGTGCTGAGTTGGGCTTGGAACCAAATTCATGGCCCATCTCAGTTGGGCCTGTGATGAGTTGGGCTTCTCCAAGGGACCAGGAAACTGACGCTACAGCTTTGCCGGTTGCGCTGGGCCGTGGAATCACTGGACGATTAGCCAGTGCGCCACCGGCCACCGGATCGATACCGGCGGCGGCGGCGGTGGCGGTATCCCACCCGCGAGCACGAGCACGAGCACGGCTGCCGCGTCCGGGGCGCAAGTGCGGAAACAGTCCAAGTCCACGCCGCGTTGGGGATCCCACCTAACCTCAACCGCTCCACGCGGGCGCCGAGGGTGCCATGAAGAAGCTGTTCTGCTTCCGCGGCGGCACCGTGGCGAGGAGGTCGGAGAGGGCCCCGATGGCTGAATGGTGCGTGTTCTGCCCCATCGCCCGCCGCGACCCCGCTTGCAACACCGTCCTCCTCTACTCCGTTCCGTACCCTCCTCCCCGTCGCCGCTTCCGATCTAATAATCCCCGTTCATCTGGTGCTGTTGGTCGCTAAAACTCGTGTCAATTTGGTTTCCTCCGCAGGATGACAGGGTCATGGCGTTCAAGGACATCAACCCGTCGGCTTTCAGGTAGGAGTACTTCTATGTCTCCGCGCACTGCGTCGTGTTGGGGGGGATTGGTCTGGAAATATGGATATGGCGTTTCCTTGTTATTACGTATAATAGCTGTAGTCGGATATTAGAAGTGATTGGGTTCACATGTACTCGGATTGAATTTACCATCTATATTTCTACTATACAACTAATGCAAGGTGGAAGGCTTTAACTAACTTGTGTTTGTTGTCTTGTTATGTCTCCTACCTAGCTATAACTACTTTGCGAGTGCAAATAATGGTTTACTGTGGATCTTGGTTGCAGTGAGCTTGTTATAAGTTTCAGTGCGAATTTTTCATATTTGGACACTTTTTTACCACCATATTATCTCTTTTTACTCTGCTTCTCATTGCAGAGAGACCTATGTTTTAATATATATATTTTTTGAACAAACAGACCTATGCCTTGATCGTTCCTATATAAGTGGCTATATTTTCATGCTGAAAGAAATCATCCTTTAGGTTTTTTTAGCAGGAGATTATGTATTTTGATGGCCGATCAATATTGGTGATCAGCTGAATAGCAATGCGACTGATTCCTCTGTACCAATCTAATCTTAACTGTTGTCTGAATTTGGGTATATACCAACCACCAAGAGGTCATGGAGAACCAAGTCTTGTGGATCGCCTACTTGGATGTTCTTGATTATCTCAATTCTCAAGTTACTGTGCATATACACAAGCATATGTTTTTCTATATTATACAGAAGAGCAATGAAAAAACATGTTGTATATCTTCACAGTTGCACCTCTCTATTTACAAATAGTGGAAAACATACTCTCTCCATACTCGTAAAGGAAGTCGTTTAGGACAATGTTTAAGTCAAACTTTAGGAATATAAATCATGAATAACTCTCAAGTTGTTGAGTTTGAAAATGTAAAAATTATATGAATAGATTTGTCTTGAAAAATACTTTCATAAAAGTATACATATATCACTTTTCAATAAATATTTTTATAGAAAGAAGAAGTCAAAGTTTCTTTTTTTTTTGAAACCGTATGAAGAAGTCAAAGTTGTGTTTTAGAGACCGTGTCACTGTCCAAAACGACTTCCTTTACGAGTATGGAGGGAGTATGTAATATCACATAGCTTACAGTTGAAGATCAATAAATTGCTACCGACAATTATTGTACTATATGGTTAACTGGATCAGTCAGACATGATGAACACCCTTCTGTACTCAATGCAAAAGTTGCAAACATAATAACAAGTCGATCTGAGCTCTTTATGCCGGTTCTGTCTTTGACATGCCACTATGCCAGAGTGATTTTGGCCCTGTAATCTTTTTAGCACCAAGTGTCCAAATGTGATTTCAGTTTTCCACCGTTAACTATTGACCCAGAGCTTGTCAGATTTTTCCTTTAACATTTGTTTTACGGTATCCTGTGCTGTTTGCAGGCACTATCTTGTCATACCCATTGAACATATACCTACTGTCAATAATCTCCAAAGAACCACCGAAGATCACCAGTTAGGTGGGTGATTTGTTCCTTCTCGCTTCTTGCAACCTTGGCTCCCTATTACTCTTTGTCTAAGTCAAACCAACCAGTTGGCATGTTTTGTCCTTTTCAGTTAGTCACATGTTGGCAGTAGGAAGAGATTTACTCAATCGGGATGCTCCCAATTCGGAGGAACAGAGGTATTGCCAAAAAGAAATATTATTTATGTGTTCTATATTTCTTGTTGTACATGTGATTGAAAGCTCTCTCATTTGCTGATAAGCAGTAACACTAATATGCGGTGATGGGGAAACTTCCATTGTCACAATATACTTATCGAGCGTTATTCCTCTCTGCGTTCTTGTAAACTTGTTGTGTATTGCAGATTTGGTTTTCACCAGCCACCATTTAATAGTGTTGATCACCTTCATCTTCACTGCTTGGCATTGCCATTTACGCCCAGGTACTCAATTTACAGTGCTATACGCCTTTCCCTTCATTTGAAATGTGGCATTTTTCCGTTTGGAAATTATTTATACCACTTCATTTTAACAGCTGGAGGCAAGTAAAATATACACCTCTTGGTCCCCTTGGAGGGTTTATTGAAGCTGAGAGTCTATTGGAAAGAATACGCCCATAGTCTACCGTTATCACAACTACCGGTACAAGCTATTCTTGCTTAACTTTTGTTGTATTGTCATTTGTACGTGATTCATTGTACATTCACAACACATGGTCTGAAATTGTAGACTAAATCAGACCCACTCTTTCTGGATGTTGAGCTGCATTGAGTTGATAAATGCCTGCTGTATGAATTTCTTTTCATGGTGGACAGCCTTAGCTTACAAACAAAGGAATAATAACCACCTATGGACCTTTTATGGCCTTTTGATTAGCAGTCAAACATTTAGGCAGTTTGCAATTATGATATGATTTTCTCCTATTTAGCTCTCGCCGTTACAGTTACTCTTAGGCTCGTTAAGAAATGTACGCCCTCCGGGCTAATAATACTTGTCGTTTTGGACAAAAGTGAGGTCAAACTTTAAAATATTTGATTACGAATAATTTCTAAAATATTTATCTTTGCAATATGGTGACTATATGTATAGATTAGTTTTAAAAAAATATTTCAATAAAATGATATATTTGTTAACACTTCTATTCATATTATAAAAAAATAGTGGTTAAAGTTATTTTTTTAAGACCGTGTCTCTGTCCAAAATGACAAGTATTATCAACCCGGATGGAGTAGCATATGGACTAGGACTTTGGTACGAGATGAATACATTTTTTTTCTTTGTCAGGCAGATGAACACAATTTACAAAGTATCACCGCCATTATCGCGATGACCACGGAAACCCGCAGGCAGTGGGCAGTAGGCACAATTGGAGAGAGAATGTTAATGAGCGATCAGTCGCATGCGCCCTCCCCCGCGCGACTAGACACGGGTCGCGCGTGGAGAGGGGGGCGCAAGCACCGTGCGGTTTCTTTTTTTTTGTTGTTTTTTTGGCGCACGGTTTCCTAGGCGGTGTGCGGTTTTTTTTCTTTTGTTTTTCTTTTTGCGCACGGTTTCCTTCCTTTTATTTTTCTTTTCTTCTTTCCGTATCAGTTTCTTTTTTTTTTTGGCGCACGTTTGACTGGGTGCAATTGGCTCTCCAATTGTTGTGACCTTGTGATTGCATCCTTTTAATATGCATCGCTTTAGTCATAGCTTTTGAATGATTGTATCATCCCTCTGTTTAATATGCATCGCTTAATCATATAGCTTTTTATATATATATATATATATATAAGAGTAAAATGCACTAGCGGTCCTTAAACTTGTCAGCAGGTTTCACTTAGATCCACGAACTTGCAAAGCGCACATCGAGATTCCTAAACTTGGTTTATTGTATCATTCCGGTCTAAAGCCGCGTTTGACCGTGGTTTTGCCTACGTGGCACGCCACGTGGACGATGACATGGATTTTTTTCTCCCTTCTTCCTTCTTTTTTTTCTCTTTCTTCCTTGTCGAAAAGATGAAAATGCCTTATACACGTCATCGTCCATGTCATCGTCTTTTCATAAAAGAGAAAAGAGAAGGAAGAAGGGAGAAAAAATAAAATAAAAAATCCATGTCATAGTCCATGTGGCGTGCCACGTAAGCTAAAACCACGGTCAAACGCGGCTTTGGACCGGGATGATACAATAAACCAAGTTTAGGGACCTTGATGTGCGCTTTACAACTTCGTGGACCTAAGTGAAACCTACTGATAAGAAGTTTAAGAACCGCTGGTGTATTTTAGTCTATATATAATGTTTGTATCATCCCTCTGTTGGTTTCTTGCACCTGCTACATCCCTGTTTCTCTCCTGCTACAATAAATATCGGCTCGGAATGATACACATCATCATGAAACAAATATATATTGGATGTGCCATATCGGAAGTTGTTCTTTATGAAATCTAATATCCAAATATATAGTTAGAAATTGATTTTTTTTATACTAGTATGTAGCCGTTTGTATCTGCCCCCACAACCAAGAGGCAAGCTAGCATGAAAAAAGTGGCAGTCATGGTTCTTTTGCATCTTATAAAGTGGCAATAAATTGGTCACTCTCTGATTGTACATTTGTACGCAAACGAATAATAATGGAATGCTTCTCACTTTCACTTTATTCGAAAGTAGACGCCAAGTCTTGCGCCTTTGTAAAATTAGTTTTGTCGTCACTCTGAATGATCAACAGCTCAATATCATAGTGCAGATGTACATACACCAAAAAGGATCTGGCACCTGTTTTATCTCACTTGGTGCTCTTAAAACTCAACAGCAATGTTCCATTGCATTTGTTCGTTTCAGTGCACGCGGAGACGGGGAAATCTTTCACTGGCCGTCGCGTCTCTTTCCATTTTGCCTCTGCCTTCTTTCTGTTCCAGTGTTCCTAATCCGTGTCATTCGTCTCATCAGCTACTATGACCTACACAAAGGCCAACCCCAGCAGTACACACTGGACGACAGCGATGGCCCAACCTGCTCGAAGTATAGTGTACTCGGAGTACAGCAGTACGAGAGATGCCAATGATGAGCCCGAGCCCCATTGGCAGAACCAGCCTGAACTGGAGTGCTTGCATTGCAATTGCATGTACAGTACTGTTGAGCTATACTCCCTCCGTCTCAAAAAAAAAAAAAAAAGAAGTAAACTGTGAGTTCCCGTGCCAACGTTTGACTGTCCGTCTTATATGAAATTTTTTTATAATTAGTATTTTTATTGTTGTTAGATGATAAAACATGATTAATACTTTATGTGTGACTTATCTTTTTAATTTTTTTTATATTTTTTCAAATAAGACGGACGGTCAAACGTTGGACACGGAAATCAGGGTTTGTCTTTTTTTTTTTTTGGATGGAGGGAGCACGTATTTTCCATTGGCCATGGGCCATTGGCCGTTCGCTCTTTCAGCTTCGCACTGCGGCTATATGGAGTCTAGGCGGTGCCCACTGATCGGCCGGCGGGGACCCTCGTCGGTACGGCACGTACCCGACTCCCCTCACAGCTGTTCTCCGGCCAGCCATCGTACGTCGCCTGTAGCTGTCAATCGTCATCATCACATATTCACACTAGGAGGAGTACAATAGTACATCATGGCGATGAGGGCACAGGGCAGGCGTTCGATCCATCAATCCTTTTTCACGACGTCTCCTCTTGTTTTCTTCTGTACCGGAGTCCGAAGCCGAGCCCCCCTCTGCTGCTGCTTCGTCTCCTCGACTCCCCGTTCCGCCGCTGCTGCCGCGCGCCATCCGTTGTCCTGCCTTTTCTTCTCACCGTTGGCTGCGAACGGTGGTGCATCATTGTGCAGCCTGTACGTTAGCCTTGGCTGCTTGCGCGAACCGTTGTCGCGTTGCGCGCACCGTTCTTCTCGGATATGTGTGGTTTGAAATTCGAATTCTCATTCACTACCCCTTTGCAAAGACTCACTCCCGTTTGAAGCAGATTGTTCGCCATAATTGTCTACTTTGGTTTTATTATAGGTGTGGAGTAAATAATTTATGACAATAATATGGTAAAGTAGATAAATAGAACGGGACAACCATGCATTAACCTGTACTAGTACGGAGTATATTGTACTAGTACCTCACGTATAGTGTACGTACATATGAAATGGACGCCTGAACAGAAGCTTAAAGGATACTCTACCATTGTGGATGCCAGTGAAGCATGAATGAAGGATCTCAGAGTCAGATAGAGTACATGGTGGAGTAGTATTAACTCGCCTGTGCCTATGCAGACATGAAAAATTGACTTACAGCCAAGCCAGCGGTACGTGCAAGATTGCTCACCGGCGTGAATGCCATTGCCAACCTCGTTATTCGATCACTGAATTGCATAGAAATATCTCACATGAAAAGGGCTGGGCCCTTCCCTTATCAACAAACTAGTCCTAGGTCCCATTGTATATCTGATTCTGTATCCAGCTCACTGAACCAGTGAGCTCATGATAATGTCGCCACGGTGGCGCATAGAACTATTGATGGAAGAGAACTAACACTACTACTAACAAAAAGCTCAGACAGCTAGTCCTTTACTCCTTTTCTTGCCTCCCATTCGGCTCTCACGGTGTATTTGGTTTTAGTTCATTTTCCCATGATTGTCATTTGTCTTTGCTAATGCTCCAATTTCTTATGGACTGAACCAGGGGCTGATTTTATCTTTAGGCTGTGTTTAGTTCCACATCAAAATTGAAAGTTTGAAGAAATTAAAACGATGTGACAGAAAAGTTGAAAATTTATGTTGCAGGAAAATTCAATGTAACGAAAAAATTAAAAGTTTGAAGAAAAAAATTATAATCTAAACAGGGCCTTACTATTTTTTTGGTGTACAGAAGTACAGAACGAAAAGATAGAAAAATTAGACGATCGAGCAAGTGTAGTGCAGTGCAGTACTAGTAGGTACTGGTAGGGCCCTGTTTGAAAAAAAAATTAGCTCAGGGCTAATTTTGAGAGCTAATGTTTAGTCATGAATTGGTAGGCTAAACATTAGTCTAGGGTGGTATGTTTGTATCCATGGGCTAATTTAAGGTTAAAAGGTAGAGAGAGAGTAGAAAGAGAGGAGAGAGCTGTTTTTTTATGGTCCCCACACAAAATTAGCCCTATTAACATTCCATGGAGAGGCTAATGTTTTGAGGGGGCTAATTCACTTTAGCCTCAATTTTAGCCCACCCGTTTGGATCCTTGAGGACTAATTCAGCACTAAAAGGTGAGAGCTAATAATTAGTCTAAGGAACCAAACAGGGCTGTCTAGTTGATTTCATGGTGCAATCAAGAAGATTTCATGGCGCAATCAAGAAATGGATCTGATCCGTCCACAGATGCAACGATAAGCACTCTGCAAATGGTCCCCTACAATTGATTAGCACGTTTTTTTTTCGAATAAGATTGATTAGCACGTCTTTGTTCTGATTGACAGACACCTACAGACTGCAGTTTAATTAGTGCTATCCTTAATCTCAATAGTTAATTTGCTGATTTCAATCTTCCTAACCTAACCTATGGTCTATGGAAGCAACACCCTAAATGCAGATTAACGATCACACGTTTTCAAGGGTAGTTAATTATGTTGAGGGGTTTCAACTACTAAAACTTTCTGAAGTGGTTTAAACAGAAGATAAAAAGGAGACATAATAGTTGGATGTACTCCGTACTAGCAGTCCATTCACCTACTCCCTCCGTCCAAAAAAAAAAGACAAACCCTGATTTCTGTGTTCAACGTTTGACCGTCCGTCTTATTTGAAAAAGTTATGAAAAAAATTAAAAAGATAAGCCACGCATAAAGTATTAATCATGTTTTATCATCTAACAAGAATGAAAATAATAATTATAAAAAAATTTCATATAAGACGAACAGTCAAACGTTGACACGGAAACTCACGGTTTTTGAACGGAGGGAGTACCTATAGTTTCAGCCTTTCGGGACGCATTATGCACCAGGCTAGCAATAGCATGAGATGACAGATGAATAGTAAAACTCGTTTGGTTGAGTTTAAACTTCTAGATTTAATTTTAAGAGTTGAATCTCAAGTAAAGTTATGGAGTAGCTGAAACCTAGTTTTACCTTTCTACTTTAATTTACTAGAGCTCTTCACCTATCTTTAATTCTGTTTTAAGTGAAGTTGAAACTTATTGATCGGGCTTCAACTTCAAAAGAGCTAGAGCTGAAACATGCAGCTGTAACCTTGTAAAACAGGCGAGTTGTGCGCCTTTCAAGTTTCAATCGAGCCGTGTCGTAAAGTCACCACTCCCAGTAATCGCAAAGTCACAACTACCAGTAAAAAACCATAGCGATCGCAAGCTCGTGGTACTTGAAAATGCAATGACACTACTCCAGCTACTCTCACTCCGAGGCCACCACTCGCTAGCTTCCTGTGTCCCCTTGTCCTGCTTGCTCTGCTACCCTGTAGCTGTAGGCCTGTACTGCTCCGTCCTGATCCGCCCCGGCTCTCTATCGCAAAGAAAAAAAGATCCGCCCCGGCTCGATCGGTTTGCGCTTGTGCACGCATACACGCTCGCGTCCAAGCGCACATCCGCACAGTGACTCGCCGTCCCGTGACTCCAAATCCACACGTTGTCTCGTCACGTAGCCGCTTGCAAGTTGCAACCAAGCGGGCGCGCCGCGCGAGCGCCTGAGCGAGTGTGCAGCATGCGTGTCCTCCGTGCGGCTCGCGCTCTCCCCGGGTGGATTTCCCCCACGCGATACACAGTTTAGTTTGTTTGAACCGTCCCCACGTACGCCCCGGGATGC